GATTATTTAGTAATATCATTTCTACTCTATCTTGTTTAATTTACGCATTATTTATCAAGTTTTTAAGTAGCCCAATTCACCTTTCTCTTAGGCACTTTTATAGTTTTGGTAAGTGAAAATAGTGTGTTTTTGATTCTTAATGAGTTTTTAGGGATAAGATCCTTATATGGAGCCATTTTTGAATCAAACCAAAGCCATTAGCTAAATTTTGTGATAAGCTTCATGTGGATACTTGAATTACTTAATTTAGAGTTGTATATCAAAAGTTATGCATGTTTGAACTTTGTTGTAACTATTCATTCTGTCAAGTTGTTGTTAGTGTCAGTTGACATAGCAAGTCATTGGTTGTTGCTAACGTCCTTTTGGTTGTGGCTTAACATCTATGTATCATCCATTGCAGTGCACAGCAAGTTAGCTGCGGTGGATGACACACTTTGGATACAAATGTCCTTGTTGAACTTTTGATTTTTGAAATGATCCCTTTTGACCCTATTATCCTATGCAAACTTGTTTTTTTTAGAATTAGTCCCTAAGAACCATGCTTCTATTTTATTTGAGTTTTATCACAATAGTTTGAATTTTAAATCAATATTTGAATGAGATCCCATTTGATACACTATTTTGTTTGGAAAATTCATATTTGTTGTGGAAAATTGTTTTGATATCTAAGAGAAATCCTTTCTACCATGGTAGTGATTTATTAAGTTGATTTGGCTCTAAATTATCATGGTAGAATTTTAAAATAGTTATTCTTGTTCTTTCTACCACAGTAAATTCCTTATTACTATGGTATGATTTTTAAATATCTTTAATTCTTTCCACCATTATAAGTGTTTTAAAGGTTAGTATTTTTAGAAAAACTTCTTATTAAACAAAATAAAATGAGATAAAAATTTAGAGTGCTACATTGCATGTGTCTGAATTGTTTTATCTTGGTTACTAAGGCTCTCACCCTTGTTGTTAATATTTTACAAGTGAGAAGTCAGGCAAAGGAAAGGGGGAGACTTCAAAGATAAAGGAATAGGAGGCATTAACCGTATTGCCTCTATTTTTGGTTGTGTGTGTGTGTGTGTGTAGGCCAACTAATATTTTATCTTGGGCTCACTTGCACTATCTAATTTCTAGGTAGTATTTGATCTTATGGTTGTGTTAAACTGAAAGAACCATGTTGGTCCAAAATATTTGTGCAAGTGATTACAATCATTTTGATTAATTATAGCTATGGGAATTGTTAAAACTATTGATACCCTTATTGAATTCCTATTGGGCTTTGATGTGATTGATTTATATGTATAATGGTGTTGTGATGGTATTGAAATAGGTTGTGAACTCCTTTTGAATGGTTTTAGCGATTTTTCATTTATTGGGATGGGGTTGTGCTTATGGACACCTTGGGGATGGGAAGTTGTTTGTGTTTGAATGTGAAAAATCCCAACTATCCTATAATTATGTGGATGTTGTGTATAAACCATTGTGTTTGTAATTGGAATATTGAGCATGCTCTCTTGGTCCTAAAATCAGTTCCAATAGGATTGTTTTTGTGGGAGTTTTCTTTGAACAAAATATTTATACTCCTAATATGCTTCTTTTCTACTTTCTATATAATCTAATTACATAATACTAATTTATACTCTCATGGTGTCACTACTAGACCAATTGTTATTTTATTTATAGCCTTCAAGGCTTCAAACTTCTATATTAAAGGGATATTTTTATGGAAGAAAAAATAGAGCCATCAAATAGAGCTGAGCCCATCGGGTTAGCCTTTTTAAGCTCGAAAAAATCTAGGGTTGAGCTGCTTCTTTGAAGCCTAAAGTGGTAAATTAGGCCCTTTTAAGCCTGAAAATAAAAGGGTTGGCCCTTTTAAGCCCTCTTACTTTTTTAAAAAAATTAATATAAAAAAAGAAGTAAAAAAGTGAAAACATTAGTTTGCCTCTCAATCCCTCTTAAAGCTATCATTCATGATTTCACCTTTCACCCACGGAGTCAACCTTGTGAGGCTGAGTTTGTGACTTGCGAGTGGCTGCAATAGTGCAATTACGACCATGCTCTATCCATCCTTCCTCTGCATCTCGCTTTGTCCATCAGCTAGCTCTGGCCATGGCTAATGAAGGTAACCCTCCTTTCCTCTGTGATCTGTCACTGCACCCGTGCTCTGTCTCTCATCCTTGCTCAGAGCTTGAGTCATTTGCTCCATCCCTTATCCATAGTAGATTCGCAATCACGCTTGATTTGTTGTTCATTGTAGATAATTATGATGAAGAAGGAAGGTATGAAAAGCTAAATATCTTTGTCACTAATGAGGTTCCACAAGGAGAAGGATCAAATTATATTAATCTTGATGATAATGAAACTAATCAAAATGTAATTGATGATGCTAACAAAGTTTAATTATTATCAATGTTGATTTTGTGATGTTGATACTTTTGATGAGACTTTAATTATCAGTGTTGATGAGACTTAAATTTGTTATTGTGTGTATTATCTTAAACTTATTGTACTAGACTTAATGTTATATGTAATAACTTTTTTAGTATTTTAAAAATGTTTTTTAAAATTTTAAATTGAAATATATATATATATATATATAGGGTTAAGGCCTTAAGGGCTAACCCTTTAGCCGTAAGGGCCACAGCTGGGTTGGCCAAAATGGTAACCTAAAATGCAATCAAGTTTAACAGGACTAGCCTGTTTAGGCCTTGTCTCTTCAAAGGCTAGCCCTAATTGACAGCTCTAAGAAAAAAATGTGATATATTTGTAATTTCCAATTAGGTTTTAATCATTTGTTGAAGAGAAATTGTCATTTCTTATTCTTATATAGTTAGTGTCCTCCATGTTTTTCATTTCAAATGTTAAATTAGGGGCAAATTTGTCACTTTATAAAGAACCAATATGCTAGACAAGTCCCTAAGGAGTACATGGTAATTGTCACATTTCATGATATATTTTTTGTCATTTATATATCTCAGGAGTATTTTTTTTTGTCATTCTCCAAAGAGAATAAGCTATTGATATTTTAATTTCTAAGAGATGAGAAATTTAAAAAATGTTTATATTTTTTTATTATGCATATTAGATAGGACACACATTGAGATAGGAGGTAAATTAAGTGTAAATTGAATTTTTGGTATTTTGAAAACTTTTCACAATAAAACAAAGTATAAAAGTAAGTTTGAGCAAATTCAAGTTCTAAGCTCTATTTGCAAAAATGCTAATGTAATTTTCATAAGATCAATAAGTGTAAAAATATTTAAAAACAATTTATAAGTAGGAGTATGAGTAAAAGCTTATAAGTATATCAAATTTAGTGTTTAACAAAAAAACTACAGTAGCTAGAAATATAAAGAGTCAAGGGCAGAGAGAATGCAAACTGTGATTTATTCTTGTTTAGCTCTACCACTTGAGTCTACGTCCAATTCCCAAGCAAACAATTTGAGATTTTTCTAGTATCTTTCACAAGTTTAAATTGGGCATTTGCAAGCCAGTACAATCCATAAGTTTGATCCCAACACTTGTGAGCTGTTACAATCACTTACTACATCAGTGAACCTTTTTTTTAAGAGGAGAACCTCTCTTGATTACAAGGGAAATATTTACCTCACTTTTACAACATGCATGAAGATGAATTACACTTATATAAAACTTTCTCTAAGAGTAGAATGAGTTTGCACAATTAAGCACTTATACTTGAATAATAAAGATATTAAAAGATATTTTGCTCAAGATCAATGATTTTTGTAAAGTAAGAGCAATATGAACATGAATTTTATAACTTAATAATTTTAAAGCTTAATCTCTTATTAAAATAAATCTAGAGTGTTATATTTATAACTCATAAAGTGATGTTGAAGACATAATATAGCTATTTTATAGCTATTAAGAATGTGTAGAAATGAAACAAAAGTGAAATAGCATTGTCAAAGGCTAATTTAAGTATGTGTGAGGTTGATTCAAGTGTAAATTGGCCTAAGGCGAAAAAGCTTAGTTTACTTCTGGCTAATTCAAGTGAGTACTTTTTATTAGAGTCGATAATTTAGGTGAGATAGGCTTATTCAGGTTTGGTTCAATTCATCTGGACTTATTTGGATCAAGCTTAAAGTATCATACCCTCTTAAAAAAGCCCATATAGTTAAGCCCAACCTTAACTTTTTTCGATTGGGTTTGAGCTACCTTATCGGGTTTTGCCAAAATTACCAACTCTACATACATATTGAGCTGGAAAATTCCAATAGCTGGGCTTATTCAAATTGGGATCAAAGTATCGTACCTTCTTAAAAAAAAGCTCATCTATCCAAGCCAGGTACTAACTTTTTAGAAGGTTTCAGGCTGGCCTAAATTACCAGCTTTACTCTTTTTAATTTAAACTTGAATTGGATCTAGGTAAAATAGCTTGGTTCGCTTATGGATAATTCAAGCATGTGCTCTTTAAGGGTGGGAGTTTACTCAATTTAAAGAGGTTTAACAAAAAATCCATATGGTAGGCAAACACCTCGGAATGCCAGATGTAGCTAATATTCACTCCGTATTTTTTTATTAAACAGTGAGGCAAAAGCCTAAACAAAATTAAACAAGTATGATCCTCGGGTAAACTAAGCCCTTCTCATCCCTATACAATAACTCAGAAAGACCCACATGCAGGTCATACGGCAAATGAATTTCATTGGATTGAAGGAAGCCCCATCTCGCCATCTAATCCACACACCTGTTCCCCTCTCGAAAACATGCAAAACCTTAACTTGCCATCTGCTATCCATCAGCTTACCAATCTGCCTTGTAAACTGATCAGCCTCCCTTAATAAAAACAATATTTCCAATCTCCTAACAACTGTTATTGAATCAGACTCTATCATGACAGTATCTCCTTTAAAATTCTGTAAAAGCTCAACACTTGTATAAACACCCCACGTTTTTGCCTCCTCCACTGAACACCTACCCACACACCTCACAAAACCACCCATCCACTTACCATCCTTATCTTTAAACACTCCCCCACAACTTGCCTATCCACCATCACCTTTAACTTCACCATCAACATTTAACTTGATCCACCCCTTATTAGGTTTTATCCACCTCATATCAATAGCAATCCTGCCACCACCTCTAAATTCCTTCCAGTAAGCCTCTTTCACCTCATACACATATGTCATTATTCCAGCCATAGGATCAAAAGGCCACACAAAACCCTCCTCAAACATCTGATAGTTCCTCTAATACCATGAATACCAAACTCCAACATCAAAAAATCACACTCCAATCCTCATCATTCTTTCTACTTAACTTTAAGTTCTGAAGAACCCAATCCTTTAAAGGTAAAGAGAAAAAATTATGCACCTTATGTTCACATTGAAGTGCACTCCATAGTTGCCTTGGCCCCACACAATCACACACAGCATGAAGTGAATCCTCATTCTCTCTAACACATCTCACGCAGACTGGAGAAGTCCCAAGTATCCTCCCACGTCTCACAGAGGTTAAAAGATAGCCATTAGCCAGCATCCATAAATAAACCTGAATTCTCCTCGTTCCTTTCCATTTCTAAATTCTTGTCCAAACTTCCTCCTTCTCAAGATCTCCAAGACCCTTCAGCATTTCATACATACCAGCCACCCAGTACTCCCCACCTCCCTTCCATAACCATTTAATACAATCTATCCCATCTTCACTATAAGGCGGCAAGAATGCTTGATTTTTGCTCACAACCTCTTCAGGAAGCAAGTCAACTAATTTTCAATCATTTCAAGGGATTTTTTTAGTGATTAAATTCCTTACATGGGAGTTCATAGTAATTCTCCCTAATTATTATTTAATCCTTAAGACTTGTATAACATTTTATTTCTCACAAAATTATATATTTGCATGCTGTGACTATTATAGAAAACAACTATTTTTATTGTACTATTAATTAAAATAAAATATAACATAACTACTTTTTTTCACAAAGTTATGACTTATAAATAGATTAGAAAGTAACTACTTCCTTTCTAAAAATGATTACTTTGAGTACACTTGATGGATAGATAAATTTGTAGAGAGCAATTAGTCGGTTGCTATTTTGTTTTAATTAATAATACAGTTAAAATAGTCATTTTCAACGATATTGAGGATAAATGTATTATTTCATCAAAGATTCAAATGTCAAACAAGTACATAGAGACTACTAAATAATAATAATTATGATTACAATTTACTGTACTTAATAATTATTTACATATTTTAAAAGAATTTTTTTAATCATGTTTTCCTTGTTTTTTTAGCCAAAGTTTCTTTGGGAAGTTTAAATTTCACTATTAGCGCTCTTTTACTGGCCGCTCGTCCTTTTATTTTTTATTTTTTATTTTTTTGTCAAAAGTTTAAACCTCACTTTATTTATTTGCCCTAAATTTGAAACATGAGGGGGACGCCAAGTCAAATGAACGGATCTCCTTGAATTCCTTCTCCTCCTTAACCATTTGCTGCTTAACTTCTGCAATTAGGGTTTATCGGATTCCTTCGTCGATCTTTTGGGTTCAGTAACCATGAGAGCCATCCCAAAACGTGAACGCGAAGCCGCCGGTACTAGCCGAACAAATGGCGCCGACCGTCTCCGAGCTGTAAAGACCGAACGACTAAGGAATGCTCGAGTCGACGACGCTGGTCATGAGTCGAGCCAGGAGAATGAGCAGGACCCAGCGAGTCGGAGGGCGATTCGGTCTCAGTACTTGACACTTGTGAATTTAATAAATGGTAATAGCGGTTTTGCATTTTTCTTTTGTTTTCTACTTCTGGGTTTCTTTTGTTTAATCTGAAGTTGAAAACTTGTTTATTTAAAAAATGTGACAGAGAAAAGGGATGATTTGGTGAAGACGGATTCGGAAAAGTTTAATACCATCATGGAGGAAGTAGAGAGGTTACATGAGCACGGTATTCTCTATTGCATTTTTTCTTTGATTGATTTCTTGATTTGAGAAAAAATTGGAATTTCTTTGTTATATATTAATTGCTATTGCAGTTCAGAAGCCAAGAGAGCAAGTTGCAGATGCTGAGGCGCTTCTTGACCTGGCTACCACTTTGGTCGGTTCCGTGAAGTCTCTGCTCAGTGACGGTGCTACCCCTTCAGAGTTTGTTAGCTGCATGATTAATGAGTTTGGACAGTCCAATAGGGGTTTGAGCAGCGAAGAGAGTCCCCAAAACTCAATTAATTGGAAAGATGTTGGATTGGCTGTGTCACCAATTTTCATGAAGGTTCATGGCTGTTGCACCATGTGAGTATATAGTATCTTACCTCATTAAAATGGTGTCTGGTATATAGTTGTCTGTCTTAACATCTGTTATAATTTTTTTATTGCCTTTTGGTACTTATTTAAAGGCTCGGTCCGATGGAAAATGAGTTGAAGCAACGGAAGGTAGCAGGTCAAAGAAAACGTGCGAGGCCAACTGCTATGGCTAGGCCTCAACAGGTGACTTTGCTTTCTGCCGTGTTTTTCCTTATTTATGTGTATCTCATGGTAGCAAATTAATGTACAAAAACCAAGTGGGAAAATGACTGTTTTTATCATTGAAGAGTATTTTCTTGAGTCTGTAATCTGTATACCTGACTATGTCTTCTTGCTATCAAATGTGACTGATGTGTTTTGAGATTGGCCTTCAGTTCGATAATTTCTCTAGTGGATGGAAATTATGAGTGTTTTGTAAACACTAACAATGTGTAAAAATCTTCTTATGAAATGTTTAATCACTTGGTATGATAACTTGCTGACACTTTTTTCAATGCAATTGTTTGTAAAGCATGTTTACTTTATACAATGGTTTTGCAAGTATTTAGCATTTACACTATTTTATTGTTTTGAACAGATTGATGATGCAGCAAGAGAGGAAAGAACTGATACTGACAAGAATATGGCGACAATGTTTGAGATATTGAGGAAGAAGAAACATGTTCGGCTGGAAAGCCTAATGTTGAATAGGAAATCTTTTGCTCAGACAGTGGAAAACCTGTTTGCTCTATCATTCTTGGTTAAAGATGGTCGTGCTGAGATATCCATGGATAAGAATGGTTCTCACTTTGTCTGTAAGACATTCCCTTGCTGAAAACTCAATATCTTGCACCTTGTTCTTTGTCGTTTTCCTCTATACTTAAATATACGATTTCCTCTCCAGCACCGAGGAATGCTCCAGCATCCAACTCAGTTATGTCTAAACAAGTTTCTTACAGTCATTTCGTGTTCAGATATGATTTTGAAGATTGGAAGGTAAGGACGGTTACCATTTACCCCTTATCACTCCATACCAATGCTGAAAAAACAATAATTCATCAAGTAGCATACCATGGTACTGGGATGAAGTTTTTTAAGCTAAGATTTTTGGGGCATGCTATAAATTAAAGATTATAGTATTTTATTGCTTTTGCTGGTATGTATTATGATAAGTCTTAATCCCATTGAAGATGCATTTGTTGGTTTTTCTGAGGTTTGTTTCATAGATGTTGTAAAATGGAGCTCATAGACACACACGTTGGACTTGTTGGATATGGCATTGTCAGTTTTGTATATTGATCTATTTTGGTAAACATTGTTTTCAGCTGATGAAGGACATGGTGCCTGATGGAGAGGAGCTAATGCCTCATAGGACTCAGTTCTGCACAGCGATTGCCAGCCAGGAAGAGACTACTGCATGCAATTCCCAGCCAGCATTGGTCACAACGCCGATCAGGAAGCTAACCCGGAACCGAGGGCTTGTTGTGCAAGAGAAAAGTGTGGTGGAAGAATCTCCTGAATGTAATGAGGAAAATGCTTCCAGAGCTAATGCAATTCGTAGATGCAGGCTTAAGCTTGAAGAATAGGTAGTTTTTTTTTTTTTATGCGCAGGCATTTATTTTGTACACATTCTACATATGCCTGTAGCATTTTGGATTGGTTTCTTTAACCCATAACTCATGGTTAGCTGACCCAATTGACGTTTTTGATAGTTCTGGCATCTGTTGATGTATATAGAGCATAGTCTTACAGGGCCATTACTGTCTCTTCAAAAAGTTAGCCTAAAGCGTACAGCGCATCTATTTATATAGCTTGGATCTTCCTCAAATCCCTCTGATATAGGATGTAACAATAGCATGGAAATATAGGTCATCTTACTCATTTAAACCAGTAAACTATTAAACTAGTGTTTATACTGGTTTGATAACATGTTTTGTTTATGACTAATTTGATCATGGTTTGATTATACTTTTGATCATTAACTTTTGAATTGATATTTTAACCATTTTAATGATTGGTTTGGCTTTCGGGACTTTGATATATAGTTTGGTGACAGCATATTGCGCTTTCTTGCAGTTTAGCTTTAATATCTTTACATGCCTTAGCACAAGTCTATGGTTGATCTTTGATGGATCTGCTCTTTTTTTTTTCTATGTTCTTCACGATGTTATGGGAGCCAGAGTTAGAAGCCTTCTATGATCAACGAAAACTTCCAGAAGGCATGCATTACAACATTGACGGGATGGATCGGGGGGAAGTTTTAAGGGACCATATCATAAAATTAATCAAAATATTGTCTAAGGATTCCTGGCATTTCAATATCAAAGAACGATAATAAAAATTTGATAAACATGTATGAAAATAAGATTTTTGGGGGAAGGACATGTTTATCTTTATAATGTTTTGTAAGTCTTGTCCTCATATGAACAATAAGTATTTAATCCATTAACAAGTTTTTGAATTTTTTTTTTCTGTTTATGTTGGAGCAAGACTTGTAAAATTAAATTTGGTTTATTCATTTTTATAATTTGTTCATAAATGAATGTTTGTTAATTACATACAATAACTTGTCAATAATTGAACATTTTGTTGTTTATAACATGAATATTTTGTTATTTATATTGGAGCAAGACTTGTAAAATTAAATTAGGCTAACTGATTTTTGTAATTTGTTCATAAATGAATGTTTGCTTGTTAATTAGATATGATAACTTGTTAATAATTAAATATCTTGTTGTTTATATTGGATTAAGACTTGTAAAAGGCCATAGGGGTCATTAGGCTTTTTCTTTCAAAATCTTATTTTTAGGTAGGTCTCACTGTGTAGTGATATTTCAGATTTTTAGGATCCTTGATATTAATGATATTTTCCCTTAATCATTTATGGGGATTTCAAATTTTTGAAATTACCTCTAAAAACTTTGGAATATTCCTGAAAAAAATGTTATTACCAAAATGTCTTTTTTTCCCCATTTTAAATGGAGTGGTCGATATATTTCACTCAAGAAAAAGCTATGTACAAAGTTAAAAAGAGATCAACCCCTCTCATAATTTACTTAGGGTATGTTTGGCTTTGAATTGAGAAAATTGATCACATAATAAATTAATTAATAGAATGTGATGATGTTTGAATAAAATTTTTTAAAATTAATTTTGCAAAATTGATTTACCAAAGGGAGAAAAGGGTTTGTTTGTTTTAACTTATTTTATAAAAAATTCAATTATTTTTTGAAAATAATCTTTTTGTGAATTTTTATATTGTTTGTTTAAACTTTTAAAAATAATTAAAATAAAAAAATAAATTTTTAATTATTTTAAGAAGTTACTTTGAGTAGTTTTTGAAAACAATTTAATATAATAGATAAGAGAGTGTTTTAAGAAGGCAAGATACAATGATATAATAAAATTTTAAAATAATATGATAATAAATTATTTTTATAAAATAGAAATCAAGAAAGATATCATAAAATTTAAAAATAATTAATTAATAATTAATTTTTTATTATTATAACCAAATATAAAATAATACTTTTTTTAAATCTCTATAAAATAAATCTCTTTTCATAAAATTTTTAAATTGTTATAAAAATAAAGAAAATATAAAATATTGAGATGAGAGAAATGAACAAGACGAGAAAAAATTAGGGAAAGAAATAGAAAGTGATTCTCATTCACAACAAGCTTACAATTATTAATTAATTATTTATAGGCCACAAGCCTTTAAATTATATTACAAGAGTTACATATAAATAATTAATCTACATAATTGTAGAATATATAACATGTGTATTAATTATGAAAAACTCTTAAAAGGCCACTCATATGGTAGGTTATCTATCTTTAATTGGAGAATGCCAAAGGACAACTTGAAAGGTTATAAATATTCACAATTATATTATAATATTTATAATACTCCCTTTTGGATGTCTATAAAATAATACTATGCCTCTTTAAATCTTTAATAGGAAAATTCAATAGGACAAAAACCTAATGAAGAAAAAAAAATACACAATATATAATAAAGATATCTCATTAAAAACCTCATTAGAAAAATCTAGTGGGACACAAACCTTGGTTAAGAAAAAAAGAATATAGCATGTACTTTATTCCCCTTGATAATGATATCAATTTTACTCCTCATAATAATGATATCACTTCTTATTATTGTATCTCAATAAATAATACTAATTTCTCAAATGTAATTGTTATATGATGCATTTTCATCATATATGTTCTTCTAACATCTTTTGAATATGTTGAATTATATACATATTCTTCCAATATATTTTTTGGATATGTTAAATTACCAATATATACTCTATTTGTCTTATTTATTGTGAAAATCACAAAAAAGTTATTTTGAAAATTATCATAGTATATCTTGCATCTGTATATTCAATTTGTTCATTGAACAAAATGCTCTCATGGTAGTTTCATAAAACTATACAAGACCCTCATTTCAGTATCCACTCATACACCTCCATGAACTTAATTTTGCTTGCAGAATTATAACAAATGCAACATTAGCATATGTAAATATTATTGTAGAATATATGGGACTCCTAGACCATTAAATTCAGTGCATTTTATAGACAAAATTATTGTAAAAATATCAAGATTTTGAAATCATTGAGATGTTTAGTAATTCAATTTGAAAAATTATACATATTTTTTCTATGCATATCCACTGACTTAATTATATAGACTTAGATTATTTAAATCCACATAACAAATAATTGTTTTGGTCATGCTTCTAGCATTTTTTATTTTCTTATCCTCCAAAAATTCTCATGTAAATTTCACTATTTAGTGAATCATATGCATATACTATATTATCTAATATTCCTTTTTCTAATGCTTTAACTTTTTAACTTTATTTTTTAAAAATTATTGACTTTTACATAAAATAAAAAACATTTTAATATTTAAAAATTTCAAAATGTTTTTAATTTCTTTTTTACAATTTTTCAAAGATAAAAAAGACATAATTGCTATTTTAAAAAAAAGAAATCATAAAACTACAAAACTCTAAATTTTCAAGACTTTAAAATATTATAATATTTTTTATTTTATATAATAACCAATGATCCCAAAAAAGGAAAAAGTAAACTAAAATTGAAAAGTTAGAACATTATACGGAGTAATAAAAAAGACATTAAATGCTTTTAGCCGAGGAAATCAATGAGATCAAGAAACGCACATTTTGCAACTCCTAGCAAAAATTGAAACTACGTTAAACTATCATTTTACTTCCCCTAAATAATAAATGGTGCGAGTGCAAGTAACTTTAGAACAAACCATAAACGATTCACCAATATCATGCGGCGAAATAAAATCTGATAGACAAAAATTTTAAAAATTAGAAAACGCTGCACAGTTCAGTACTCGCTAAAACCAGAGAAAGTAAACTAGACGTTGGTCCACAATACGTCACTCAGGGGAGGGGGCCAAAAAGTCATCACATTCCAGGCTTGCGTAATTCTTCGGCTCCGTGTGCAAAATGGCACCTTTCCCCAAAAGTGCAAGATCCTTTCGCAAAGTTTTCACACAGTTTAGTCTTGAAGTTGCTAGCTGGGGCAGCACCATGTGGCACGAAGCTCTTAGCAGGAGGACCAGAGAAAGAACCAACATTTGCAATAAGTTCACGAACCATAGCACTAGCTTGTTTGATCTGATCAAAACTGCCCTCCAGCTCAATGTTCTTGAGATTTGGATCGGAGTCATGATCCCGTATCGAAAGTTTTGCTCCGGTCACGCGACAAATTTGCTTAGAATTGACACCATTTTTCCCAATGATAGCTCCTGCAAGCGAAGCATTGATACTAATCTTTGCAGTAGCAGAGGCTCCAAAGCTGGCTGCAGCTCCATGAGATGGAGGGGGGGGCTCGGCTCGCCCACCGCCCCTGCTTTGCATTTGTCCCAATGAACGAGGATCTTCATATGATGGGATTGTTGGCTTTCCAAGCTCCCACTCACCATGGGCAAAGTGGCATTTATCACCAAATTTGCAACCTTCAGCAGTATTATACTTGTTGCATAAGCGGGTTTTAACGGCCGGAGGGGAGGAGCCATCTGGAAAGGATGGTGGAAGAGCTGTATTTCTGGATGCTTGTGGGAGTGCAGGATTGGAACTGACATTGATCATCTGAGAGACAGCCTTTATACCCCCAGGTACATAATGCAAGAAATGACATCCTTCGCCAAATGGACAACCAGAGGTGCTGTATAAAGATGAGGCCAGACCAGATGTCATCATTTAATCATATAACATACAATAAGGTCACTGTAGCAGCATAAATTGAAGTTTTATCAACACAATTATAAATTAAAAAAGTCAAGTGAGCATCCGTATCAAATTACTAATGTCACCACTCATCATTGGGAAATAGAAAAGAAAAGGTCCAAATAAACTGGCATCCGTCCAAGAATGAAGAATCTCTAAGCAGCCATATCCATGAAATCATAGAATGTTACACTGTTTCACAGCAAACATGCACAGCAAAACGAAGCTTAAACAGAATAATGTAATAAAAGATGCACTTCGATTCAAGAAGTAAATCTGAAAACTCCACAAAACACATTTTTGAAAAATCTAGCGGCAGACTTCGAAGTAGTTGACCAGGAACTCCTTAGGATTAAACAATGAATACATTTATGATTTGGTTTATTAAATTAGAATTTAATATCCTTAAGTTTCTAAGCAGCATGCCCTATACTGAAGGTATAAGCGTTTTATCATTTTAAAAAGTTGAAAAAAAAAAAAAACCTAAGGTCTTCTGACATTACTTTTCAAAAGGAAGGCGTAACAAATGAAAATAATATTCACAACTTGTCAACTATAACCAGACTCTCGCGTGAAGCTAAAAATGATATATCATTACATCACATCTCCGAAAGAAAGCTTTATGTTAGAAACACAGTCATCAATGATTATGAATTAAATTTAAATTAAAAACCTATTATGTAACGTACATGCTTTTAAACAGAATAATAGAATCAAAGGAAGAATCCCCCTCCTCATTCTGAACTAAATCAATTTGTTAAATATTTAGATAATAAATCAACACCATAAATGTGCCACCCATCCATCAGATACAACTCGCTACTGAATGAAGAATAAAAGGAAAAGCCAATGATCATCCTACATTCAGCATCAAACATATAGACGGACAGCTGTGTCATAGAAAATGATGCGGCAAAACCCTAGATTCTACTTATATGACCACAAACAATGAAACCATATGAGCAGAAGATATTATGATCCCATTAAATTTCACTAAATAAATCCTGGAAGAAAAAAATATCAATTCATAAATTAAAAAATACATATAGACAAGCCTTCCATGAGATTCAGGGGAAAACATACCAAGACAAGTAGGAGAAAAATTGCTTGGGAATGATGAAACGTTTTTTAAGCATTGGTAGCTCAAAAAGCATTTCCAATCATGAAATAAAAAATGACACCCATACATCACTTTCTCAGGATCTAAGCTATACAGCATCCAAAAAGTAAGAAATCCATAGCAGCTTATTCCTAGTAGAAAAAAACCAAACAGTGGAACGAGCAAACCAGGACAACGGATTATTATTTATACATATATATAAGCACACAAGATCTTTTGATGCTTCACACACTAAATAAAAATATAATTTCAGTTAACTTTATAATATATATTAATTGTGTACCTTTCTAAATAAAACTTAGAACAAACATAAAAAGATGCTGTCATTTTTTGTGACTTGCAAAAGCCATTGAAGATAGATCCATAAGCATGATATACTTATGTTATATAGCTTTAAACATTGAATTAAAAGGGATCATTTCATTGAAACGAGTACAAATGCATCATACAATTTGGTAAAACAAATGCATTCCTCACAAACAAAGAAAATCAAGAAAAACTGGCAATGCAAAATGTATTTGTTGTTCAACAGTTACTGATGGCACTAGCAAGAAGCATGAAAACAGATATGCACTAAAATTTCTAATGATCATTATTTCCATAGCCTCCATATATGGAAAGATGTAATAACATAAAGCAAGAAGAAAGGGATGAAAGAATTTTAAAATAATACACTGCGATGCTATAATCTTAATAAAATAATGATCATGAAAAGTCATCAGCGAGCGGCATCTAATTCAAATTAGAAGTTTCAGGTATTATGGACTATGGTCTGGAGAGGAAAAAAAAAAAGGAATTAAAGTTCTAGGCCAACATTCATTGACAATGAAAACGACTCTTCCGAATCCCTGGCAAATAAGAGGGCCGGGTGAAGAATGCAAGAGAGCAAGACGATGACATAAGAGGGAATTTTAATTGAACTGAAGTTCAAATTTAATCAGAGTTATTAAAGTGAATAATAAGATGATGATTAAAGGGTTAAAGGAAAATCTAGTTAATTTGAGAACTATCTAATCATGCAACTGCTGGGCAGTAAAGCATCTTCCTCTACATATAAATTTATTCTTGAGACTTATTAGAGATATGGGAACAAAAAGTACATCAGAGTTAGTTACGCAGTGCCCAAAAGAAAATCTAAGATCAAAAGTTAACATTTTTAACTGTATGCAGGCAAAGATCCTGATATCAGGCTGGAACTTAGGTGGACAGAAAAGCTTATGGAACCAATTCCATTTGGCTCCATGGAATTATACTTCTGAACCTATGCATCCAAAAGTCATGCATACTTTGAAGCCTAATAATCAAGGGGACTAGGAATCATAAAGTCATGTGTAATTCATTCAGCCCTTCCAGCCCCACATATGTATGTATTGGAATTTTTTGAAAAAAGGGGTAATTAAATAAATGAATTTTTAGCATAATAATGCTTAGGAAAGACTACTCAAACAAATTAGAATGATTAATCCATTAGTCTCCAGTCAGCAAGAAAGCGGTTAATTCATAAAAGAGGTTATCTTGTAAGATTCACAACCATACTCATTCAAGAACTCTAAGATAATTAATATTTCAATTCCTTATTTTTCCTTTGTGCTGCTGTCATAGCCATTGGCACATGCCAATTGAACTATACCCTCCTGGTGTAAGAAAATCAATGTCTTTTAAAGCATGTTGCTAAGAGTTAAGTCTCACATAGCTATGCTATAGCCATTTAACTGATCTGCATCGACCTCTTTCATGGTGAAGATTGTAGAGTATTGTACACAACCAATATACCAAGGCCGAGTATTCCATACAAAGAACCTCATTCAATTATATATAGCCCAGCATGCACTTAACAGATCTGTTCATGACGAATCAACCATTTCTGTTCAGTCTTGTTATCAAGATTAGAAGATAATGTAGAACCTGTATCACAGCTTTAATACCCAATTCATTAGTGAAATCACAAATATTTTACTTGCAGAGATTGTCTATCAATATTTTTCTAAGACATTCAGAAACATTACAAATTACAAATTTACAATTTAAAAATATATCTAATTGAATTACATTTTATTTTAGATAAGTTAAAGATTTGAACCTGAAAAACTTTGTGCATGGCTTCGATTTGCTTCCTAAACCAGATGGAAAGGACTCCGTTTCTGTTTCAGAACATTAATTAATTCCCCTCAGTTAATATTTCTCATTGACCTTTTATGCTTCAACTCAAATAATAGCCAATACCAGCTTTTTCTCACTATTAAATCAATATTACCTCATTTAGATTTATGTAAATTCACATGTTTTCACAAGAAGATAAAAATTACCACTTCATTCTATATTTACATCATTACAGGGGAATAAACTTCCACGGACTAGTATGACATGTTCAAGAAGTAAAGCGGATTAACACAGTTAGATGACTGTACTAACGAAAAGGTTTTAAATATACAGGATAAGCCTATAATTTCAGCAAAACTGTGAGGAGGTACATGTCTTTTACTCTAACATGAAAATAGTGACAGTAACTAACAAGATATTATCCATAACGTACAAATCATACATGACAACCTAAAATATCAGCAAACTAAAAATATACTAGCAGCAGTATGTGCAGGCCAAACAAAAGACAGAAATCACTTGAAATCCGAAGGGCTAACCACATAAGAAGATGAGTCCCAATAGATGCAGATTTTTAGGTAAGAAATGCCCAATAAAGCAAACTTGCATGCAAAATATTTAAAGTCAAAATATATTACAAGTGGTGCGCGCGCGCTTCCATCCAATCCAAGAAGAAGGATTCTACTTGACAGTTAACGCATACAATAAGATTGCAAACTGGCTATTATATAGTAAGAACGTAACCACTGGACCCAAACATACCTGGCAGCTATGGACCAAAAAAAAAAAAAATACACACATTGGAGTGTGGATGTTGGAAGACAAACAAACAGGCTCACCTTTGCCCAATTATTTATTTTCTTCAAGATTTAGGTGACTATAGCATAGCATGAAACAAACCACAACCACAAAAGCGTTTTCCTTGCATCTTGCACTACTCACAAACGCAAAACACAAGCACAAACCCAAGCGCCAAGAAACAAGCGAGAGGAAGGGAAACTCCCAATCAATTCTTCCAACTCGCAAAGGTGACATCACTTTTTCCACAACAAAGTACCATTCCAGGGGAAAAAAAATAAACTAGAAATCTTTTTCAGCAAAATACCTTCTTAACCCTAATAAAATTACCTCAAAGATATGCAACTTTCATTTTCCCCAAATAATCTCCACCAAATCTCAAAGAGTAAGACCGTCTTTTTCTTAATGCTTTGCTTCAAGTAAGAAATATAGCCAAGAAGGAAAAGCAAAGAGCAACAAACAGTGTGTAAAGCATCTTGATACACATTTACACTCCAGCTACTATCATGTAAAAGAGTGTCGGAAGTAAAAGACAAACCTGGCCTGGATTTCTTGACGCCGCCATTGCCATTAAAGGAAGCTTCATGCCTTCCCCTCTTACGAACTCCTCCACCAAGGTCCATGGAAACGAGATCTATGGAATAAAGTGAAACGAAAACTGAAAGCTAAAAAGGAGGGAACAGGAGAGACCAACAGGGGGGGGGGGGGACTCTCAGGCTAGGGTTCACAGAAATTGGGAAGGGGTGAAAAGGGCGGGGTTTGAGACTAGAGAAAGAGAGCAAGAAAATGAATGAATCAATGAGGAGCGAAACGGGATGGGGTCCAAATGTGGGTAATACCTAATACGATTGGAGGTGAGGCTGGGGCACTCACGTGCCGCGGGTGACGTCAGCAGTTTCCGCGAACCTTTTTTTTTCTTTTTTTCTTTTTTTGTGGGATCGGAAAGTTTGCGCAAGTTTTTCTGGGATATAAATCTAGGATCCAAACATGGGCGTGGTGGTGATCCCACGTAGTTGGTTTTTTATTTTTTATTTTTTATTTTAACTCAAACACGCATTTATAACTCAAAAAAAAAAAAAAATTACATCAGATAAATATCACCTAAATAATCACTCCTATCACCCGCCTCCTCTGCTTCAGAAGTAGGAGGTAATCTTGACATGAGCTTATTAGGTTAGTTTTATTTTTTCGTTCTCTCAAGCTCCGGCTTGCTATTTGTATTTTTTTTTTTAAAAAAAGTAGGAGATAATTAAAGTAGTAAAAATTAACTTTTAAATTATGAGTCATATTAGCCAAAGAATCAATATGGAAATTAGAGTTTCTACTAATATACTAGATAGTCTGACGTCATTTCTTATGATACAAAAACCGAGCATCATCCACAATATCCCATGTAGCTGGTTTTATAGCATAATAAAACTGACTTTTGGAAAGGAAGTGATGATGCTTTTTATAAATTATTTTAAATAAAAAATAATTATATAATAGTATTTAATATTAATTTTACAGTTTTGTGATTTTTCTATGAGTAGAGTAAAATATTAAATATTAAAAAATTATATTTAAAAATGATGCATTTAGTTATAATTAATTCTTTTGGCCTAATAATTATAATTAATTGAAAATTTTCTTTCCTTTTCAAACAATATGAATAATTTATTTACCTTTTCTTTATATTTTAACACGAAAATTTTAATAATCAAATTTATATGTAAAGTTGTTTTATGACCAATAAATGAAAAGTTTGTTTAAAATGATTAAGTTTAAGAAATTAGTAATTATCCGTGGTACATAATACAAAATATATTAATTTTCTTATTTTTTTGGCTCATATTTTTCAAATAAAAATTTTACCCATGGCTAATGATGATCAGGATAACAATTTTAAAATAATGTATACATAAATTAAATTTTAAACAAATTTATATTTTAAATATTTTTGTTTATTATTATTTTTCAAAGTTTTTTTGTCTTTTTCATGGGCATGCACATACTGCCCTTCGTTGTTCAGGAAGCCTATATTTTTATAGTTTTTTTTTTTAAAGGGATCAATTAAACACATAACTCACATACTCAAATGTCGAAATAGGATTCGAACCCTAGATTAAAATTTAATTTTCTTAGTAAAATTAATTATATTTAATCTATTTTTTTTCCTGGCCAGAAGATTGTATTTAATCTCTTGAATTGCTTGATCCCATTAACCAAACAAATTAACTTGCGTAATTTACCAATTTGGACCTATATAATGATTGTCAGTGTCACCTGGCACCGTTTATTTATTCAAATTCAATGAAATGCATGCTATATTTATCACTGTTTCTTCCCCACCATGCCTCTTTTAATTTATTTCTTTTAATCTTTATGTATTGCATTCTTATATTATTTAAACAACTCATTTAATTCATCAAAATTCTTAATTTTGGATAGTTTAAATAAAAATAGCATTTAAACATAGAAAAATAAATTTTAATCCAGTTAATAAAAGATACAACTAGTATGTAATAATTGTAAGTTCAAATTATCTGTTATATCTATGTAAAAAATTTGTTAATAGATTATCTATAAATACATATATAAGTGTACCCGATGGATGCATTGACTCCAAAACTTTTTGTTTTGTAAAAAAAAAAAATTAACTAAGAAGTAATGAATTAGCATAGATATAAAATCCAAAAATCAAATTAAATATCATGCATCTCCATCTTCAATATTTACTAATAACCAAACCAAGTTTCATATTCAGCCAATTCAAATCCAAGTATTTTAACATTGATTTTTTTATATAATCGTTATTAAAAGTTCTTTTTTTTTAGTTTTTATTTGTTTTTCTTGACATCTAAATCTTAAACTTATAAATTTTATAGTTCATACAGCAATACAAACAGCTAGCTAATAGATTTACAATAAATGTTAAACTATACTATATATTTTTAAAATGAATTGAAATAATATGTTTTTTATATAACTAATATGTTTATCTATATATATAAATGTTCAACAATTAAAATACTATAAAATTTTGTTCAACCTCTCTTCACTTTGAAAAGTACTCGTGGTTTCCCTTATTAAAGTGAAAGATTGATTTTTTTTATTTTTTTTATTGTTAAATCTTTTAACATTGATTTTCACTGAAAACTAACATTAAAAGTGATTAATATTTATATTTTTTTGTAAGTCTTATTTCATGTTAGTTATATAAATAACTGATGTGAAATACAATTTTAATGTTGTTTTCCACGTTAGTGTTTGTAATAACCGATGTTCAATATCTTTCCACAACGATTTTTGAATAACTGACGTTAAATGTGTTCCATTTATTTATAAATATACCACCACCTTTTTTTGACATCAGTTTTTGTGATAACCGACGTTAAAAGGTAACATTAATTACATTTTCTGCAATAATGTAAACTATTATATGATGCAATTTTCTCCTTCAATTTTTAAAAATGATGCATTGAGCATCCCATCATTAAAAAAAGTTGATCCTAACAGTTAGTTGATTGAAAAATTATAAAAAGAGACATAAACAGTACAAAAATGACCCATAAATTGCAAATAAATACCCTATAAGAAAAGTAGTATTGATTAAGCTCCTAACATAATAGTTGGTCAAAGTTACATTTTGGCTTTTAGATGAGTAAGAACATTTGTATTTTGTTATTTATATATAATTTAGGAGATTGAATTGATATTAATTTTTATATGGTACTTTGTGTCATTTTTGGGTAATTTTTAAAAAATGTTGAGGTCTTTTCTTTCAATTTTAAAATTAATTAACAATCAAAATTAACTATTTTTAATGACAAAATACTTAATACACTATTTTTAAAAATTGAAAAGAAATTACATCACATGAAAATTTAAAATATTGTTTTTGAATGGACAGTTAAGAGTCCAAAATACTCTTTAATACAACCTTATTTTGCAACGTGGGTGATGGTGTTGCAAGTGGTGGTTACCAATGAGTTGTTGCTTGGTTTTGCAAGTTGTTGGATGTCAGGTCAGTTGCTAAGTTGCTACAGTTGAATTCCATAAAGTCTCTCAATCTTTTCATTTGATATACCATCATTTACTTCCCCATATGTTACATGAGAGCGTTTCCTTACATATAATACTTTTAAAGTATTATTTTTAATTTTTTAGAATTATTTTTCATTATAAAAAAGAAAAATATGAATTTTATGAAATCTACATGATATAATTATATTGCAATCAACATATATAAAAATATTAACAATAATATTTGTGATTTATTCAATAAGAAATAAACATGACAATAACTAATTAAATTCTTAATTTGTTACTGATAAGTTTTATGTTCGGAATGAGAGGGTGGTAACATATACCAACGTATACTTATTATTATTTGCAAGGATATTTTATTCTAATTTTACTTCCAAAGAAAAGTTTTGACATTGAAACACATATGTTTATGTATCTAATAAAGTATAAATTTTCATGTTAAAATTCACTTCATCTTGCCTACTTCACACACATAAGTCATTCCCTCTAGTGCCTGAATTTGAAAACCAGCCTGTAAGAAACTTGTATTTTTAATTGTGTTACAATAATTTAATAACTCAAATCACATCTATGAAGGAGCCAAAAGTAACTCAAGAGATGAGATTCAAGATGAATCTCTCTCTCTCTCTCATTGTCTCTCTAGTCTCCTTTTTCACTTGTTGGAACAATATAGTACATTGATATTATACTCTTTCTCATCACACACATGATGTTATTCTCTACTTCGGACTTAAAATAGTGCTTGCTCTAATTACTGGGCTTAAGGCCTTTTTCTTTACTTGTACTCAAACAAAAAGAGCAAGTGCTTGAGTGCTATGCTCCAATAAAAGCCCTGCTACGTCACCTAACACAAAGTCCTCCAAAGTTCTTCAGCAATTTATCATTATCACAAGCAAAAACGAGTCCGACAGTGTTTGAAAAATTTCAAACCCTTTGGTTTTATGATATATATAAGTGGATGCTTCAACATAATTATTTACTTAGTAATTGGAAACTAACTCTATTTTGTATATACCAGACCTTTAACATAATTATTTCCGCTAATTGTACTAAATTCTATTTCTTTAAACAGCTCAATTTTATGACATTTTATTCATTGCCATCTGTTTTGGCAGTACTTTTAAAACTATGCTTTCCTAAATATCTTCTTTCTTTTATGAAGTTGTATTTTGCAAGTTCTTGATAAAAATCATTAAATTGAATCTATCTGATGTGGCACTATGCTATTTCATTAGCACAAGACACAGGTTTATGACTTCTGGTTTGAAGCAGTTATCTTGACATTTACAGTTAACTTTGTGTTAGTTCCAATTGCAGGTGAATAAAAAAAGTTCAATACCAAAAGAGAGTTTCTAGGAAGGACCCTTGCACTAATTCATATCACGTTGATGATGATGAAGTTTTGGAGCGGGTATTTATATCATATTTCTTGTTTCTCATAGATCCTAAACATTTTGCCTCATTGCTGAGCAAGTTTGATGCTATGAATTAAAAGCAACTTAAATGTCCAATTTTTGTGGATCGGTCATTGCTCTTTCATTGCAAGACTTTGTTGAAGGCTCATGTTTTTTCTGAATAGGATGTAGCGAATACTACACATGATCGAAGCATTGAGCAAATGCTCTCGAAGTTGAGCAACAACCCCACACCTGTTTTGTTAGAGGTCCCCCAACATCATTGTTCAGATTCCAGGCTAGCCATTGTTTAAAGATCTCCTTGCTCAAAATTATG